TTCCTCGAGATGCTTTTTTGTTTCAGGCTTCAGACATTATTATGGGTCAGATATATATTTTTTATTCATAGAAATTATAATTGATGTTATCATCGTCGATGATCCAGATGGTTATTTCCCGGGAAATAAATAATGAAAATTCCAGAAAAACACCACAATTGAAAATAGYGTCCCTGCAGGTAACGATAAAAAACCATAAATGGCGGTTACTGGTACATAGATACTATTTAATATTTCCATACCTATTATAATATTTGTTTTTCTTTGGTTTACCTTAAATATAATTGTTTTTTACAAAAAAAAAGTACATATTATGAATTTATGACCGCCACCGTTGATTGAAATGTGTTAAGCTGACGACACTACATGGGCCCTGGGGACGTGTTCCCCTATCCACCATCCCCTCCATCAATTCGTACATGACCGTAACTAATAGTTATTAATATTATTACATACCAGCAAGCTATCGACGACGGCTTGATTGCGTTCGGTGCGGACCGTTCCCACCAATGATCGTTTATGGGGGGTGGGGGGAAACCGTTGTTTGTGGTGAACGCGCGGATTCGCATGTGCTCGCGCGACGTCGACGACAGTGCCAGTGCTTCTGCTTCAGCGCAACGTGTTCAACGACGCGTCCGTCCGGCAAACAGTTGTTGGTCCGTCGCGCGTGTGCGTCCGTCCCTATCCGGTTTCGGCGTTTGGATCGCGACGTCGTGCCCAAAACGAAAACACGCGATTTTTGGTTTGAATATCGTTCGGATCCACCGATAAAAACATTATACCGTGCGAGTGAAATCGAAAACCGCGCCGCTTGTGACCGTCAAAGAACTGCCTACGATGGGCCGTGACACCGTCGACACGTCATGACCGGGGGACACGACGATTRATGCCATCGAGCTATAATACACCAGAGGTATGCGGACGAATATTAGTTAATAAATAGTAGTTAGTAGGTACCCAAGTCATGGTCGTGGAACAGTCGTGTCGTAGTGGCAGACAACGGGTTCGCAGTAATCACTGTACGCATACCATATACCTTTCAGATATCATTGATWGGTATCAACAATATTATTATGTACAATAGAATATAGCCCGGTAATTATATTTTGTACCCGAGTGTATCACTACGAGGTTGGGATTAGAAACGTAGAATTTTTTTCGCCAAATAATCGTGTACCAGTTTAATGCCTGGACACTGTGCGGTTGTACTTCTTTTTTTTACTGCCGTCGAAAAAAATATTGTTATGTAAAAATATATAGTAGATAGGTATCGGGTTTTTTCATGAGGCGTTTGCGAAATATCAACGTCTCACTTGCGCACGATGCGAACAATACCATATTAATATAACAGTATTAATCCAACCAAATGCTTTGCACTCAACTGTCTGTGGACATCGTCGTTGTACTGTTTACTTCGAGTCGTAAAATCATTCGACACAAATTTTTTCATAGATAAGGTAAAAACCAGTTTTTTTTTACCAGGAAACTACCTATTCACCTGTACGTTTTATTTTTGTTACTCAACATTCTCAATAATTCATACTTATCTTTCAACACAATATTCTTTAGATACCCTATTGGTAATGTTATGATATTTATATTAAATAATTATATATAAATTACTTAATAAATGTTAATAGCACAGATACCCTTAGTATACAAATCGCCGATTTTGGGTGGCTTATTCTCCAATCTAATAGTCTCCTCCCACCTATATCGCAAATGTTCGTGAACACTGAATATTTTAAYTCGTAAGATAGTTGAGACTGATAAATGACTGGACAAGTATCGTCAACAATTTACAAGTGTGTCATCTGGTACCTACTTAACGAGGAATAATTAATGAACATAGAATAACTACACATGCTTAGGAGACATCACGTTTTTAAAAACACTTAAAGATCCATTGATCTATCGGTCATTATTTGTCGCTCATTGAAAATATACAAGTTAMAACAACAGTGCACTTACTTGAAATTACAATATATTGTAAGCACTCGTTTTCTCAAACCAGAATTATTTTTAWTTAAAGTGTTCGTAATCTGTTTAGTGATGCAAGTATTATGTGGTTGCACACGGACTATGATTTTTAGCATTTTAACCCCTATTTTAATTTAAATTTAAAAAGGTATATGACGGTATATGACGGTATATGACGGTATATGACGGTATATGATATAATTATATTATATACTCCGAGTATAATACTCGTCAAGCTAAATGTTTTATACACCGGCAGCATATATAATAAGCACACATCATGATATCGTTTGTATTGGGTCTAATCAATTAATTAACTAAATACAATATAGGTACCCACTATATTAAAATATATATGTTATGTAAAAAAACTAATTATACCTCGAATTACGTTATCTATTCGTATACATCATTCATTAGTACCTACATATTATTTAAAACGGTTATGAAGTGATACAATAATTATTAAGGAACTAATAAATAGGGTAGTAAATAGATGGYGATTGAATTTTATATCATCAATTATTTTGATAATTTTAATTAATTACTTAATATTCAAATAAAATGTAGTTAGGTATATATTATATAGGTTACCTATTTGTGGTGTATTGAGACCTCTAATAATTAATAAATCGAGTCCCGTTGTAACTGAATAGCATATTGTATGATAGCCGATAGGTGCTATAAATTGATAATATTTTTATGATAATTAAAAAATTTGACCTTCATTTTATACCAAAAATGTTATGAGTTGATGGACAGTAAAGCGTAGACAAAATAAGAAACCTTGACAATTTTAAATATTATTTGAAAAATATAAAAACATTTTTTTTTATAAAATTTACAATTTTATAGATTTTTTGTAGGCAATTCATTATTCAATTATTATTCAAGTTGATACATCGATGATAAAAGTTGAACATGTAGATTATTTAAATCATTTACTCTACGCGTTAATAATTGTGTGCTATAAATGCGCAATGGTACATTTTAATACTTAACTCAACTAGTTTAATTTACATATTAAATAAAGTAGATAATATGTAGCTTATATGTTATAGGTACGTCGTATTGTTTGAATAAAGAAATATCGACAGTGATAAGCAATAAGTGTTAATGATAACTCGATATCGTTACCAAATAGTGAATAATATTATGCTAGAAGTACCGGAAGTACATAAGTGTATTATTATTACTACCTAAATATTAAATAGTAATCACATTATGAATGGAGTTTAAATTAATACAATTATACGTATAGTAATTCTTGTTAATCATTTTATCAGYCAATTTTATCGTTAGGTATATTGACAWATCATAACTCTTATTCGATGACTAACACCTGACATAATATGAAACAAAAATGTTTRAAAAATTACTAAAAAGTCTATTTAAAAACGATTGCGTTATTGCATAGCCWTGTSGAAAAAATATTTGGTACTATTTTTTAATGTTGAATTATATGTACATCAAGTTAATTTTTGAATATTAGATATTTTAATACYTAATATAAAAATATAGTRCATACCTAYTTCTATACCGTACAAACTGATGGATTAAAGTAATTTTTTATAATAAATATATTCCGCAWACCGTTAAAAAATAAAAAATAAATTACTTATCTTTWGTAATTTGYAATCGATATTTACATTTAAAGCTTATGCGCAGTAAATTTAGTAAATTCGACCACGAATAATCGTGTACTGACTATAAAATCTATGGTATTATTATTATTTGGTGGTCTAGTTATTCATTTCGAAAATTCAATGAATAATAATAATAATAATAATAACAACAGTGTTATATTCATAGAAAAATGCACCGAGTAGCCGGTAGGTATTTAATTCTTTATTATATATGAACAGACGTACAGACGAAACCATAAATGTCAAGAGTTAAAACTGTTATTTTTAAGTCCAACTTGTTTACGACTTGTACGAGTTCGATCACACGAGTGTGTTGACCCTCAAACAATGTTAAGTTCGGTGTGTATAGTTTTCAGGATGGCCACATAATACATTATATATTATACTTGATCTACGGTTATGGGCGCGTGTACTTAATTTAATGTTTTGCTCTTGAACAGCGTCACGTGCAGGTTACGGTTTCTAAAGAGTAACCGCCAGCATATGGTGTATGCCGATACGATCTGGAAGTCTCGAAGCCCATGGATAATATTATAYTATTTTGTCTCCATTAATTATTGATACCAGCCCGCTTGCTACGAAAATATAGTCGACCAACACCGTAAGTGCTAAATAATAATATAATAGAACAGAAATATTTTACTAGGTTGCGACCCGGCATATTGTAAACCAACAATCAGGATCGTCGAAAYACCGTTTCACTTCGAGRTGATTCGTGGTTCAATAGTTCGAGTATTTCGTTCGAGTGAATGGTAATCAGGAGTATATGCATTCAACCTTTATAGTTTTATTTTAAATTCTGAATGGAGCGATTTAAAATGGGTAAAAAGTTAGAAAAAAGTTACGGAAATATTTATACAACACGTTAACACCGGTTGTTGACAAAATCAAGTTTTTTATTTTGCTATAATTCAAAACTTATGACCGCAGTTGCTTTAAATTGTCATAAAACATTTTTATCAGTAGTCTCTATTTTAAACGATTTTAATATTTAAAAAAATTTTAATTKTTTTTCTATAAACATATTATTCTTGCAAAAAAATTTAAAATTGCATATAAGGTGACTTATATAAGTTGAACATAAATTGACATTTATTTTTTTAAGCGTTTGAGGTTCACACATTTTGACTTAATGTTTGAACTTATGATAACGATTTGTCCTTAAAYGTTTACCTCAGTTTATACTGTACACATGATTATCAAATGATATCGATAATATTTTTTTGTATCAGAAACATTTTCCATGTTGAAAAAAATAGTTGACACATAAAAATTAATATAAATTATACACTTTCAGAATATAAAATAAATGCAAATTGGACAGTACTTAGAAAATTTCAACATCCAACACTAATTACTTACGGGTATATTTATAATTAGAATTTAAATGTATGGTAATTAATAAGCTAAAATTATTATTATAACGTATTTTGTATCTATTCAATTTTATCATAATTTAATTTTAATATATAATAAATAGATTGTTTTAGGTACCCTCCGGCAATGAATCTATACTAATTTTGGTAGTTGTTTCTGAGGTCTGAGAATTGTAGTACCCCATAGGTCATAACTGAATTTTACTATTGTTCATTGATTGCGTTTTTTTTTTTTTTGTTTTAGAAATATTAACTGTAGTTTTTAATACGCCCATACTTGAAATGTGATAAGAATCTTAAGCAACAATGAAATATATTGATAGCGTCGAGACAACCTGCAATGAGTAAAAATGCTAAACAATTAATCTCATAAAAAATATTTATAAATTTTTCATATCGTTATCATTTTGTTTTCAAGAAATTAATAAACAAAAGCCCAAATACCACGAACAACAATAATATCATCTGTTTTTTTTTGTATACCAATAGTAGTAATAAACATTTTGATTAAAAAGTCGGGTTGTCCAGACCAAGAGATATTAGTGCCTAATTTCATTCGTCGAAAAATTATTCATTRATCGTCAATAAATATTAACTWTAAAATAATCGACTTAGTCAAAACAAATAAAACAAATTTCAATATTAGTTATAGGTATAGATTCTATTATACTATTTTCTTGATTGAAAAAAAAAAATAAATACTAGTATAGAACGTACTTCTATAATATTATACCCATAAATGCTGAAACTGTATTTGTTCGATGTTACTGACCTTCGAGTTATACCGGAATCTGAGGGTTGTTAGATTGAAATCACTTTCATCCTTAGGGCCGTCAGATGAGTCATACAACTTAGGCGTTTTTGCCTGATCGATAGCGGTTGAGTCATCTGTGGTTAAACGGGATGTTTTT